ATCTAGCACCTGCCTCCTACTCCGCTGGTCTCCTGAAATGCTAGGAACCATCTTCTTCAGTTCTCTCTAGGCCCTCCCTCAGCCCTCTTTATTTATTTATTTATTTTTTTGGTACATATATTTTTATTGACTTCAGAGAGGGAGAGGGAGAGAGAGACTAGAAACATCAATGATGAGAGAATCATTGATCAGCTGCCTCCTGCACACCCCCTGCTGGGGATCGAGCCCGCAATTCAGGTATGTGCCCTGACCAGGAATCGAACCGTCATCCTGGTTCATAGATCGACGCTCAACCACTGAGCCATGTCCACTGGGCCCTCAGGCCTTTTTTCCCAGCCTCCCTTCTACGGACACTGTGATGGACCAAATGTCAGTGTGCCCCCACCCCCACCCCCCAAGTTCTCATGTTGAAGCCCTAACCCCAAAGCAATGTATTAAAGATGGGGCTTTGGAAGGTAATGTGGGTGTATGGGCCCCCAGGGTGGGGCCCCGGTCGGATGGCATCAGCAGCCTTCTGATGGACAAGCAGCTCCCGAAGAGACTCCAGAGACCTCGCGCTTGGTCTCCTCTCCGTGAGGACACAGCAAGAAGGCACAGTCTGCAAGCCAGGAAGACGGTCCCTACCAGAACCCAAATACGCTGGAGCCCTGACCTCGGACTTCCAGCCTCCAGAACTGTGAGAAAATACATTGTTTTTGCATGTAAACAAAATACTGTTGTTTATGCATCTAGGCCATGGTATCGTCCACGGCAGCCCGAGCTAAGACACACAGCCACCAGGCATCCCAAAAGACAAGTGGAAAACCAAACAAGATAAAACAGACCCCCACACACACCCCAATGACAACAGGGGAACCAAGCCACCCTCTGTCGCTGCTGCTCCTTTTAAATGTGGGGCAGAGGATGGAGACCCAGACCCAGGGGAGGATGGATCGCTGACCCAGTCTCAGACGTGGGGGGAAAGCTGTAAGAATGGGGGAAGCCAGGCCCACCCACCCTAGCTAAATGCCAACATGTAACATAACCCCAGCCAAGGGACAAATTCCTTTTAGAGGCAGGTTCTACAAGGTCTGCCACCCTCCCGCATCCCAAATCCTCAAAAGATTTTAAAAAAAATCAAATCAAAACAAGACATGTTTCCAGAAGAGAAGAAACAGCGTTTGGCAGGACATTTACCTCTTAACTTGTCCTCCTGACAGGTGATTGACAGTAGTCTGTCCAGTACCTATGTACACAGACATGGTATCATCTCTGGAGTAAGCCGGGAAGAAAATCACAAAAAGGGAGGCTGAAGTCTGAGCATGGGTGTGTATCACTTGGTGGAAGGGAACTCATTTAATTCTAACAACTCTATGAGGTGGATTTAATTATCGCCGCCTTTTACAGAAGGAAAAACTGAAGCACATACTGTGGTGGTAGAAAGCAAACAAGGCTCTCACCTCCTATATTCTACTTGGGGGAAGCCAACCAACAATAAAACAATGGATAGGATTCTTGCCTGCAAAGAGCTAAACCAAGAGAGCCAGGGACTCAGAGGCGACTTGGGTTGCATGACCAGGGGATGCTGCGATGACAAGGGGGAGCCCACCATGGAGGACCTGGGGGGATGAGCCAGTTTCCCAGAAGCTCTGAAAATTGGCCACAGAATGGGTCCATCTCTGGTTCTGATGTCACGAATTGGGGCCAGGGCCAGGGCCAGGCATCTGTATTTTTCAGAGCCCACAGGTGTTTCTCACCTGCAGGCCAGGTGTGAGAAGCTATCCTCCAACACTCCAGGTGCCACCCCTGTGAGATGAGTGGCAACTCTTTGGTTCCTGATCTGGACTGAAGGTCTGTGTCTTCCCCAAATTCCTATGTTGAAGCCCTGATCCCATAATGTGATGGTAGTTGGAGGTAATTAGGGTTAGATGAGGTCATGAAGGTGGGTGGGGCCCCCATGATGGGATTAGTGCCCTTCTAAGAAGAGGAAAAAACACCAAAGCTCAGGCCCTCTCCCCACAGCGTTGAGCTACTTGAGGATAAGAGCTGCCTCTCACACTTGCTTATACTCTCCACCCAGTGTCCCACAGGCTGGACACACAGCAGCAGGCGCGTGCTACATACATGATTGTGAACTGGGAAGGAGGCTGGATCTTCTCCCGGCCCAGAGACCAGGGGCTGGCAGGGAAGCCAGGCCTCAGCCTACCTGGGCTGGGAGGAGAGCTGGGGTATGTGCAGTGGGGCTGGGGGGCAGATGCAGTGCAGTGGGGAGGGGACAGGGGCATGGGATCTGGAGCCAGAACACCAGGGATGTTCCCGCCTGCCAAGAGATCTTGGAAAGTCACTAAACTTCTGAGCTTCTTGTTCCTCATCTTTGCAGAAACACTCTGAGGATTAAAGTGCTTAATATTCAAAATACACTTCGATTCCGTCATTTTACCAATATTTACTGAGTCCCTTCTGTGTGCAGGGCCCTATTCCAGAAACAGTCAACACAAGCATAACACAAATGTCAATTATTGCAAAAAAGGTTGCCGATTCTCCTCCATTTCCTCTCCGAAAGGGGCACAAGTCCGGGTCCTCTGCCAGGTAGGACTGCCTGCTCCATAGTTAGTGGGGTCATTTTTTAAAAAAATATACTTGTATTGATTTCAGAGAGGAAGGGAGAGAAAGAAACATCAGTGATGACAGAGAATCACTGACCGGCTACCTCCTGCACAACCCGGGCATGTGCCCTGACTGGGAATCGAACCGTGACCTCCTGGTTCCTAGGTCAACGCTCAACCACTGAGCCACACCGGCCAGGCTAGTGGGATCATTTTTCATCAGAGAATTCACTGAAGATTCAGGAAACAATCAGGCGTAGGAGATGCTAAGAAAGGGGAGCTTGTCTAAGCCAGTGTGCCCAGTCCAAGACCAGGGCACCATGAGCTAGAAACCAGTCAAAACTGCACCAACCCCAATTCTTTTCTTTTTTCTTTTTACATATTTTTATTGATTTCAGAGAGGGAGGGAGAGGGAGAGTTAGAAACATCAATGATGAGAGCGAATCATTGATTAGCTGCCTCCTGCACGCCCCCACACTGGGGATCGAGCCCACAATCCGGACATGTGCCCTTGACCGGAATTGAACCTGGGACCCTTCAGTCCACAGCCCACGCTCTATCCACTGAGCCAAACCAGCTAGGGCACCAACCCCAATTCTTTGCCCAGAAAAGCCCTGTGTTCCCCGAGTGGCTGGTGCTAATTAGCATCTCAGGTCGCTGGAGTGCGAGGACGGCCTTATCCATGCGCCCATGTCAGTCCGGCACATGCACCCCCACCTCTGGCTGATGAAAGGTGCACTGGGGGAGGTTAAATGACAGGGCGGGTACCGCTGCTGCTGAGTCACCAGGACAGGTGAGAGTTCAAAGTTCAAAGGGAATTCTAGTTGCTTCTCTGCAAGCCTGTGCTCACCTCCTCCGTGCCCACCCGTACTTCTCAGAAGGATCCTGGGAGAAGGGAAGTAGATGGTGTAGAAAGCAGACTTTGAGGAAAGGCCCCGGCCTCCCTATGCACATGGAACCAACCAAACATGCTAATCGCACAGGCCTCGGCTCTGAGGCAGCTTCACACTACGCGTTCCGTGACTTCCCACCTCTGGCTGATGAAAGGTGCACTGGGGGAGGTTAAATGACAGGGCGGGTACCGCTGCTGCTGAGTCACCAGGACAGGTGAGAGTTCAAAGTTCAAAGGGAATTCTAGTTGCTTCTCTGCAAGCCTGTGCTCACCTCCTCCGTGCCCACCCGTACTTCTCAGAAGAATCCTGGGAGAAGGGAAGTAGATGGTGTAGAAAGCAGGCTTTGAGGAAAGGCCCCGGCCTCCCTATGCACATTGGAACCAACCAAACATGCTAATCGCACAGGCCTAGGCTCTGAGGCAGCTTCACACTACGCGTTCCGTGACTAAAGCAACTCGTGTGCTCTTCCCTGACCTGTGAATCGCAGGTAAGACCTGCCTGTGAAAATGAGCCACAGGACGATGCCATTCCAACCTGCTCCTTTGCCCTGGGGCTCCACTTCCTCTCACACACAGCCCCACCCAGAGCCTTGCTGGATTCTCCCAACAACCCCAGAGCAGGCAAGCCCATTTCACAGGCGGGAAAGCAGAGGCTTAAACAGATCTTGTGACTCACCAGCAACTCCGTGGAAAAGCCAAGTGGTATCCACCTATAATAAAGCCTCATTGTTCTCCAAGCTTCCAAATACATCACCCCCCTGGTCCTTCTGTCAGAGACCACCACGTGCCGGCGCCAGAGACACAGCCCAGGATGCCCTGCAGAGCCTGGGCAGTCTCCCTTTGCCCGCTGCCTGTGGGAGCACTGTCCTCTCCCGGAGCCTCCCCGCTTCTAGCAAAGCCTGCCTGCGGAAGGACAAGGGCAGGTTGTCCTCTCTGGGTCCCGACAGCCTCCAACCCCCTTGAGACGTCTCAGAAGGAACATGGAAACTGCCTCCAGGGCAGGCAGGACTCATCCCTGAGCTGGGATGACACCCCAGGAACTGCCACTCCAGAGAAGGGGCCCAGGACTGCACATCCTACCCCTGCAGCTGCCCTGGCCGACAGGTCTTCCCCACGTGCCATCTGTCAGAGCAGCTGGGCTTGCTGCCCCTAGAGCTCCAGCAAGTAGGCACAACAAGAAAAGGGGGGGCGGGGAGGGGGGCACACGCCCAGGCCAACAAAATCAAGAGAGTGGGGAACTCTGAGCCTTCAGAGCATTGTGAGAAAATGAAATTTTAAAACTCTTAAATGTGACCTTTTTCAGTTGTTGGATAAAGAAAGTACTTGAGTTGCTTAGCAGCACAATTGATTAACATGTGTACATTACCTTTAAATGCCTTACCGCTAGCCTCCCACCCAGGTGCATAAAACCACCTTTCTCACCTCTGGCTATAAGTGTCCACATAAGGCCCCATCTCCAGGCCCAGCCAAATGCCGGGAGTAGGGAGGGGGCACCGGAGGAGGGTGAAGAATCTATTTCTTACCAGGATCTGTGCAGTTCTTAGCTGTCTGAGTCCCATTCAGCGGTGCCATCAGCTTTCTGTTTCTCCACGTGGCTGGTAGAACCTGCTTGCTGGCAGAAGCTGTCTTGTGCCCTGGATTGGAAGTTAAGTCACAGACACCATTAGGTCAAGGTGGCGCCTGCATTCTCACCATGACCTCACCTCTCTGTAATCTCGCCGCAACAGCCCTATTTGACTACTTAGAGCCACCTGTACGGAGTGGTACAATGATTGGAAGCACAATAGGTATCACCTACACCCATCTGTTTCCTAGATGGAGTTCCTTGTTCCCACTCCCAGGTGCGTCAGCATGTGCTCTGCCTTTGGCCAAGATCTCTCCGTTCCCGGCCCCTCGCAAGGGCAACAAAGGGTTTAGAAAAGTGACCAGGAAGTTCTCTGCTGGCGACGATGCTCAGGAGTCCCAGCTCTGCAGGGCCTACGGATGGACAGTAAGCCAGCAAGCAGGCGGAGAAGATCGACGGGGTCTGGCCCAGGGCTTCTCACCCTTGAACGTGCAAATGACCTGGGGACCACGTTAAAAATGCAGATTCTGACTCGGTGTGTCTGGGCTGGCACCTGGGATTCGGCACTAACCAGCTCCCAGGTGATGCTGACTCTGTTGGTCCGAGGGCCACACGGAGGAACACGTGAGATCGCAGGCGTGGATGGCAGGGACCAAACGCAGTTAAACTCCTAAAGGCAATTCCGGATCCAGCAAACACGGGCGATTCTCACTACGGGACCTTTAAAGCACTCACTTACTTACCTCTCCGGATGCGCACACGGCCTCAGCTGGGTGATAACCCTTCTCTAATGCTGACGTCTAAGAGCCTCTTGGTGTTTTGTTATTTCTGGTGTGTAATTGAGGGAAAAAACACATCACCTTGCCCCATTGCAAAGCACCAGATATTAAAATGTGCAAATAACCATTCAGGTTTTCTGTTGGAAAGGGCCACTGTTTAACATCCTCAGTCACAAAGTATGGGTTTTGAAAGGCAGTATTCTTCTTTTTTTTTTTCCTTTAAGTTTAATCAAGTTCCAGCTAAATTTTACCTGTCACTCACTATAAACCTCTCTAAATTGTCCCTTTCCCACTGCTTCAGAAGGTACTGCCTCTTTATCTCATGTCCTAGTTGCTACATCACCTGCGTTTTTCATATTTTTAAAATGTGAAAAACAAAAACACAAGGTCCACAGCATCCCATTAAAAATGGCAATGCCGGCCAAGTGAATGTCTTCTGAAGACTCCACAGGGCTCGCGTGCCCACCACCACCACCCCCACCAGATTTTTTTTTTAAGTTTCTCCTGCTCTCGGCCTCGGATTTGCATATCTTAGGCGACTCTCAACTCCCTGGGCCTCCTCTTGGGTGAAGGAGTGTGGGTTGTGCCCCAGACGCCAGCGCTCCCACCCTGGGGAGAAGGGGAGTTGAGAGAACGATGCTGAAACATGGCAGCAACCTCCCGGGGAGGAAAGACGGAGTTCACGGCCTCCGAAGATGGGTTTTCCAGGGACGCGGAGTACAACCTTCCCCGCTCCGCCGACTAGGGAGGCGGACCCCTCAGGTCGAGGGAATCCACGTCTGGACCCCTGCTGCGCTGCCCATCCCCCGCACCCTCGGGAGACTGATTCGGGCGCCCAGGGGCCGCGGCGCTGGCTTCCGTCCTAGTA